AAGAAAGTATAATCTGAATCCTACGTCTCTAATTCCCCTTTTTTTTATACAACTGGAGTGAATTTTTTTCCCCTTTATTTGGAAAAACAAATTTTACATTGTCTCTGAGTTGGAGGAGGAAAAAAAACACCCACAGAAATTCCCAAGCTCGTGAATAAAATCGAAGGATGATAAGATCTGGAGCTCAGACCCAAAACCCTAGAAATTCCCAGATGACCTTAAAAACGGATATTCTAATTCGAATTGAAGCAGCCAAAAACCTGTAGAATAGATTCGAGGGGAGAAAGAACTTACAGATCGACGACGAAGAACAGTCACACCAATCTCTGTTGTTCGCTTTGCATTCCACAACCATACTCCACATCTAAAAAATAAAGATAATTACAATTTGATTTTTCTTCTGTCCGCCATTTCGCTGAATTTTTATTTTTCATTTTTCTATCGTCTCGTTCGTCGGGTGCATTGTTGTATTATAGTGTTGATTTTCGGCCTGCAATTTCTCTCCGGCCTGCCATGGCATATGATATAGGGTATACTACAAAATTAGTCTCCTAACTTTCAAAACATTTTATTTGGTCACAAAAATATAAAATTTGCAAATTGGTCAACGACGTTAGACATTGGTTGCATTTTGATCACTCCCGTTAAATTTAGTAAATCTTGTTTTCATTTTAGACATTTACCTTATTTTTATTATCATTTTAGTCACTCGAGTTAAATTAGATTTTTTTTAGATAAAAATTCTCATCTTATCTCTCGTATTAATATCTTCAACAAAATCACATGTCATGCAATTCGATTGTCACTTCCTCGAGCAACATATCAGAATCATAACAAAAATAATAGATAAAACAAGTATTTTAGTTATTGGTGGGAAAAAGTATTATACTTATTTATTTGGATAAAAAAGTTCATGTGAGACTCTCATTATACATATTTTTTTTATTTAAGTGACTTGAATAAAAATAAAATATAGGTTTCATATAAAAAAATGCCTAAATTATACTCAAAATTGATCCTAATTCTTTTTTGTTAAAAATAGATACCTAATTTTTTACCCGTTATGCTTTAAGGTATCTATAGTTAAAAAAATCGTTAAGTGATACGTGTCACGTTCAGATTTTTTTAAAAATATTTTTTTAAAAATAATATTTTATTTTTTATTAAAAATATAAACGTGGCACTTAATGGGGTTTTTAATGGTAGATACCTAAAAGTGTAATAGAGAAAATATTAGACGCCTATTTTAAACAAGAAATCCTCTAGGAACCAAAAGTCGGATTTGGATATAGTTTAAGTACTTATTCTTGTATTAAGCCTAAAATCTATGACGAATGGATAAAATAAAAACAAAATATAAGGAGAGTCATTAAAATGAAAATAGAGAAAAATAAAATTTAATGAGAGTGACTAAAATGATAATAACATCTAACTTGAGTGACTGAAATGCAAACAATCTGTAAATATGGTGACCAATTGTAACTTTTCATTTTTGGTGACTAAATAGAAAATTATAAAAGTTTAGGGGCTAAGTATGTAGTTTACCCTATGATATATGATAATTGTTTACAAATTTAATAAACATGGCCCGTGTTTAACTCGTCTGATAGTGTGTGGATAACAAAATCGGTAAAACGTCCAATAATAATAAAATCGATATAAATAATAATATTTTTAGTAATTTTTTTATTGGTTTTGTTATTTAAATAATAACAAAACCGGTAACGTCTTTTTTTAACCGTATATTAAGACTGCCGCACGTGATCATTTTCTGTGGATCCAAAAAAAAAAAAGCAAGTTTATTAATAGTGAGATCATGCGATGATGTATTAAATTTTTCAAACAAGACTAAAATTTTAAATTTTGATATTGTAAATAAAAAAAATAAATTGAAAGAATAATTTCATTATAATTTTTTTATAATATTTGCATATGATAATCATGAACAATTTAGAAACTTTCGTGATTTTGTTCGTTGAGGAAGACAAGGCTATGTCGGATTTGGATATGCAAACTTTGGAGTTTGTTTTTTTTCTGGTACACATGGAAAATATGGAAGTAAAATCTTAACTCGCTCGCTCCGTTCTTGTCAGCTCCCAACATCGCATTGATTTCAATTGGAGGCGATTGTAAAAGGGAGGAATCTTCCTCTTGAATGAGCGCAAGGTTCGCCAGTTTATCAGCGCATTTGTTTTCTTCTCGCTAAATATGTCTACTTTGGAGTTTGTTAGTTAATCCATTATCTGGAATAGTCGAGTTGTTAAGGGATTGTCAGAAGAAGAGTACGTAGAGTCTCTTAAAAAAATTAAATCAATATATATTTTAATTATTTTTTATATTTTTAATTAATAATATGTTTTCTTCTATAAAATTTTATAAATTCACATTTCTTAAAAAATTAGAAATTCACATGTTGGTAATAATGTTTTCGTGCAAAATATGGAGACAAGTTGAGGCCCAGTTTTTTTTCTTTTGAAGGGAACTGTATTACGACGTTTCAGTCGGTGGATTTTGTGGTAGTTTAATTCTCTTTTGAAAAAAAAATTGTTAATTGAAATACATTATCTAAATTAGGGTGATTTTGTTGGCGGCAATCTAACATAAGGATAAAAAACGATGATCTTGGATGTAACTAAAAATGTGATAAAAAATTATAATAATTTATGATATACGCAACCTAAAATATTACATTCTTCTTAACATTTTTCGGTTGGACTTAAAATATTACGAAGAATGTAACATTTTCGATTGCTAATAAAAAATGTTAGGAGGAATATAACATTTTAGGTTACTCCCAACTTAAAATGTTGTATTTTTATCACATTTTCGATTGTACTCAAAATTATCTTTTTTAAATCCTTAGATTAGGTTATCGTCCCCTAGATTTTTCTCTCCAAATCAAGCAGGAGCAACACTATTCAATAATGATCTAGATTGTAGTCTTTCTTTCTTTCTTTGTTTAATTAAAAACATGAGTAAAATACATCTCATGTGTTTGACAATAAATGAATTACTTTTTATTTTATTTTACAAAATTAATCGTGGTATAAAATATTGTTATAAACATGTTACTGGTCATTAAATATTATTTAAGATATTAACTTGATATGGTATAATAACAATTTTTGTAACGTCCCGAAATTTGGGTTAGAAATTACGGGTATATTCTATTTGGATCTTAGAACAGTTTCCCCTTAGCCCATGAAGAATTGGACCGAAGTGGATTTGATTTGGGCTTTAGATGAGCCCAATAGGTGTTAACGCTTGCGTATGGAATGTGTTTCTGTGCACAAGTCAGTAGAGGATTGTCGAGGAGTTTATCGCGTAGATACATTCTAGACCAAACGATTGCAAAGTATGTCTCGAGTATATTTAGAAGGCATGTATTTATATAGACCTTGTATTATTCGAGTCATAACCCAATTTTGATTTAAACTTAATGGTTGTATTTGTACGTATTTGGGAGACTCCCATATTTTGTAAACTTGAATTTGATTTCACTTATAATATGACGAATGATTTTGATGTTTATAAATGTTTTGAAAAGAAATTTTCGGGTTAACTATTTTGGTGGTCCCATATGGCATTGTAATTTATGGATCTTCGGGTCGGACTGAATTAAGGTGTTACAGTTTTAGTTCTTAAAACTTATACAAACCTATTAATTTAATCGTAATTTGAAATTATTTAATAAATTTAATCATTCATATGTAAAAATTACATCATTTTAGTCTTTATTCTTCTCTTAAATTACTCGTTTTTCTCCTAGAAATCTTATATTACTTTTCTATCGATTTCTTAATATAATAACAGTTTAACAATGACTTGTAGTTGCTTAATACAATTATCCAACTATTGTCTTAATCTAATTAGACTTGTTTTCCTTGACAATGTCGCACAAAAAAGAGATTAAATTGATTGAACTTTTAATTATAAAGGATCATTTGATCGACGAAATAGTCAATACGATCATTTAATACGAAATAATCAACGTGATCATTTGTTCGACAAAAATCATCGTTGATGATTATAATATTAAAAGAAATTTAAAGTAAAGTCGCAGGTTGCTACTAACAATTTTGTCAAAGTTAATTTTAGTTATCGACGAATTTACTTCAGTTTTTTTAACATTTCAAGACTAAATTGTAAAGAAAGAAAAATGAAGAAAATATATAAATCAACATTAAAAGAATTATGGGCACCTTTTCTTATATTATTATAGTTATTTTCTCATAATTTTTTTTATTTTAATTTGTATACTTTAATTTTATTTTATTTTAATCTCAAAATAGAAAAAAAGGTAAAATTATTTCCTGCTACAGATAATTTTACAAATTATTTAAGAGTAAACTACGAGTTTAGTATCTAAATTATCAGTTTTAGTTATTTTTAGTAACTAAACTTTTAATTTCTTTGAAACCATGCATAACGTCTTCATTTTAGTACCCGTTAAAAATTCAACATTAAGTTCTGAAAAAAATTAAAAGTTTAGATACTAAAACGGATAAAAATTGATAGTTTAGGTACTAAAAGCGTTAACATTTTAATGACAAAGTACTAAAATGAAACAAAAACTAAATGTAAAATATGATTTTGAAAAAAATTGAAAATTGAGATACTAACTAATAGCTTATGCACTAAACACGTAATTCACCCTTTATTTTTAAACATCGTCAAAACGTTTCTAAACCCCTAACTAATACTTAAATATTTCATGTGTATTCCCATATCCCTAATTTTTTTAAACACGTCTATTTTCTTAATAATTTAACTAAAAAGAAAACAACATAAAGCATAAATAATTATATTACAAATTGAAAACTAAAAAATAGAGAGTATTATAATTGAATAATTTTATTTATGAATGTATATATATTTTAAAATAGATTATATATTCATGAATATGTAAAGCAAGCCAACCAAAATCAATTTTATGATCCATTTAATCGATTTTTTTTGTTTGTCGATGTTTAAAAGCATCGTGGAGGAGGTGGTATGAAACGGGAATGGGAATGGGAATGGGAATGGTAAAGATGGATGGAAATGGCGATGCAGTGGACGACCAACACCAAGACCCAAATCCCTCTCTGTTTCCTCTCTTTCCTGCTGCCGCTGTCCCCGCTTCTACAGTCGCTTCTTCTAGTAGCGTCCCCCAATGGCTTTCCAACCCTAGCTTCACCAACTATCTTTCCCTCGTCAACGACGTCGTTTCCTCTCTTTCCCGCTCCCTCAAGGTAGAAGAAGAAGAAGAGGAAGAAGAAGACGAAGACGAAGGAAAACAAAAGCAGCAGGAGAAGAGCCACCGTTCTTACGAGCTACTTGAGGAGGAGGAGGAGGAGGAGGAAGAAGAACAACTAGAAGAAGATTCTGATGGAGCAAAGTACGACGAGAGAAAAAGGAAGAAAAGAAGTAAGAGGAGGAGCAAGAAGAAAACGATTTCGAAAGAAATTGGTGATTCCTTGTCTAAATACAAATCCAAAACCTCTCATTCCAGTGATTATTATTTTGATTCTCATCCAGATCTTGATAACTTGGCCTACGGCTCTCTCTACAGGTTCTCTTCCTCTTTTCCATTCACCATTCTTTTGTTTTTGTTACTTTAGTCACTTTGTTATTTCTCAGGTTAATATTACATTGTGTTTTTGTAAAAAGAAACTACACCATACGCACATATACACATGTATCTTTATTTCTAGAGTACACATGGATAGTATGAAAATCAGATATTGCCTTAATCTCTGCATATTTGACATTTCATTTTTGACTTAATTGTTCCTGCTATTACCTATTCAACTTGTTTTGTTTCTTTATGGTTTCTGCTATCTCCTATTCGTCTTGTTTTGTTTCATAATACTCAAGCATAGGCAAAGTGTGTTAACGGTTCCCTTGGTTCCCCTATACACTTAAATTGCTGAATCTGAAATATTATGAATTTGGCTGTCTAACATTATTCCACTGCAGGATGGATGTTCCGCGTCATAAACTTAGAAATCCTGAACAATTATCTGGATTCATGTACCGTCGGACTCTCAGATTTTCAACATATGATAAGGATGCTGATATTGATGCTTTGGATCCTAAGCTAAAGTCTGCTGGTCGATACTGGTCTCCCAACAATGCTGCACTTGAACACCATAAGGACCTAAAGCGTCTTCCTCGTTATGCTCCCAAAAATTCTTCAGAAGTAGTTCGTGCTGATTTCATTCCTTTGACGGATATTCAATCATCTCCTCAACGTGGTGAAGGAAGTTCAATCTCAAACAATTCAGTCATTGAAGAATCATGGGAGGATGAAGTGCTACGTAAGACACGGGAATTCAACAAATTGACCAGGGAGCATCCCCATGATGAAAAAGCATGGCTAGCCTTTGCAGAGTTCCAGGACAAGATTGCGAGTATGCAACGACAGAAAGGTGTTCGCTTACGGACTCTTGAGAAGAAAATTAGCATACTCGAGAAGGCAACTGAGCTTAATCCTGATAACGAACAAATCTTGCTTTGTTTAATGAGGGCCTATCAAAAAAGAGATAATACTTAAGTGTTGATTGGGAGATGGGAAAATGTGCTTATGCTGCATTCTGGGGAGTTATATGCTGTGGAGAGAATTCTTGCATGTTGTTGAAGGGGAGTTCTCCAGATTTAAAGTTTCAGATATGAGAAAAATGTATGCACATGCGATCCAAGCTCTATCTGCTACCTGCAACAAGCAATTTAGACAGGTTCTTAATCTAGTGCATTTTATTTTATTTTTACCTTGGTTTCTCTGGTTATAGCAATTAGCTTCCACAACCTTGAAGCAGCCTCCGGAGAATGGTGCGGTCGTTGAAGCCACCAATATCCCTATCGAACATAGTAGTAACCGGAATCATAATAACCCCAAATCAATGTTTCTTCGGTGCAAGGTGCTATTGTTGTAGAAAGTATTTGGCCGCAGCATCTTCATCATTAAAAACGTCGCATACTTCATCTTTATTCCATTCTGGCAAACCTGAATGCATGAAAGCACAACCACGTATGGTATCCACCGGCAAAGCAGAATAGTTAATAGTATCGGCGGATCGAAAAATATTTTTCCAGGGTGAGCACATATATGCTAATAACAAAAATTTTGTACGGGACAAGTACAAACAAAATTTCAATATGAACATTGTCAATAAAATGTAAAACTAACATAAAAAAATTCAGATTCTACATGTGGGAATGTGCACACCCTGGACACTACATACATCGGCCACTGGTTATCGGTTAAGGTAACTAAATTAGATACGCCCCATTTGTCGTTTACCAGGTGTAATTTGTTCACTCTGATACGCTCAGAAAAGGCTTAAATCGCTTTATGCATGCCTTTCCAGGCGTAAGAACTCTTGTTGCCAATCGAAGTGTTAACGAAATCACCATTTGGTAAATATTTCGCCTTAAAAACCCCAGATAGTAAACAATTACGATTCTTAGTCGTCTCCATACATGCTTACCTTTCATCGCTATATTAAAAGAATGAAGGTCTCGCAAATCAAGACCCCCTCGATAGTTAGGTGTGCATATGGTCGATCAGGCCACAAAAGGGCAGAGGTTTCGCAAATAAAGAGTTGAAGTTTTAAAATATTGACAAAAAAAGAGAGCAACTAATGAACATTTTAAATGAGACAGAGATAATATTATTTATCTTGTACAAACTAAGTTACCTCTAGTTAAATAGATGATTATTATTATTAGATGTTTGATTTTCAAATACCTAAAACTACAAAGGTGATGGATTTTTGTTCTAAAATTATTATTATTTTTAAAAAACATATATTTCTTTATAAATTTATAAAAAAAATATTATTTATCTTATATTTTGAAATAAGCAAAGCATTTGAGAGTAACAGGTGTAGTCGGCTCCCTTCTCGTATGGTCCCAACTGTTCTACTAAAAATAAGCTTAAAAATTTGAAATAAATAAATAAATTATTTGTAAAAGACCCTTATCATTCGTATTTAATAAATTAAAAATAAAAGGCTAAATTCTACAAATGGTCCTTAAACTATTCTCAAATGATTTTTTACCCAAAAACTTTTAATACTCATAAAAGACAATGGATCCCGGACAAAAGGCATTCGGCTGCAGTTCAAGTGATCTGAATGATTCAGAGGAAGGAAAACAGATGAAAGTGGGGAATATAATCTTTACTTTGTATACGGCCAATATTGTACAACAAAATCATAACCACGGTCTTGAATATATACGGGTAGAATCCGCTTAAAACTAATAGTTTTTACACTAATCTATAGTTATTAAATTCAAACTTAATTAAAAATCATAACCCATAAATAAATATCTTTCAATTCAAGTAAAACACCATCTCTTTTTTTCTCTAACCCATAAATCTTAAATCTTAACCAAGAAATATTATTTTATTGCGAGTTAAAAATATTTATTTATTAGTTATAAACTTTAGTTAAATTTAAATTATTTATTTAATTAAACTTAATAGTTATAAATTAGTGTAAAAGTAATTAATTTTACATAGTGTAAGCGTGTGTATGAAATGGATATAAAAGACACTTTAATCTTTAAGCACCCAATATGGTAAAACAATGCATGAAATGAAACACAGTTACAGTGTTACACAGATCATTAGAATCAGGTATGGACGTATGGTGTGAACAATTTTGCATTTAGGATCCGTTTAATTTATAGCAAATAACTTTTTGAAAAATAGTTTATATAAAATTAATTATATTTTTGAAAAAATAATTTCTGAAAATAATTTACTAAGATTTGGATGAAGTTGTATAATTTATTTTTTAGTTATTGGTAAATTTTATAAAAATTATTTATTATAAATATTGAATATTGGAAAATAATATAATTAATTATGAAAAAATATTAAAATAATTTATTGAATGTTATTATTAATTTTTTATAATTTTATAAATAAAAATATTAAAATTAGTATAACTTTTCAAATTTAAGGTTGAAGCGATCAAAACATGTTTCAATTGAAAGTTCATTGACTAAACTAAAATGTTTTAAACTTTAATTATTAAAATAAGAGTGATGAGAAAATTGAGTGATGAAACTTGTAATTTACCCTGAATTAAAAGAGATGGGAATAGGGGCAATACAGTAATTTTTAGAAAGAAGAGGGGTATTGTTTTAGGGTTAGCAAAACTAGCCGAGCTGTTAAAACGTTGATTTTTTTTTATAATGACATTCTTTAATGAAAAGTATAAATATAATAAACAAAGAAATGGTAGAGCACTAAACCCATTTTGCCATTGAATTTTTCTCGAACCACTAAACACCAAACGCCCTACGGGAAGACAAACCCTAGTCCGGAGCTGGTCGAATCCCCCACGCAACAACCCACCTCGAACAGGCAAGAGAATCAATAATAAAAAATTAGAAGTCTTGCTTCATTTGTTCTCCCTTAAAGGTAAATCTTTTGTCCCAAACGACTTGTAGTTTGCTGGGTTTTTTCTTCTTTTTTCGGTTCTTTATTCTGATGGAATTGGTCTTCTCCAGTGCCGAAGATGGAAGCAGCGGTTTCTGTGGTTGGGTCTTCTATGACACTTCATCGACCTTCATGTCCGGCTGCCAGATCGGCTGTTTTAGCTGCCAATGGTCCTCTTTTCCCACGTTTTTCTGCAAATCTTAGCAAATTATCCTCGATTATGGTATCGATTTAGCTTCTACCCTTTTTATAGAAGAAAAGGATTCTACACTTTTGGTTCTAGATCCTTTTCTTCTTTTAGTTATGTGATTTTTTTATCCGTTTTGCTATGCGTGTAATTTATGAGGGGAAAAGGGGGAAACCTGATATTTGCGGATAGGTGGAGTATTCGGCCGGGTCTGAGTTAAAAAAATTTGAGTTAGTCGTGAAGAGTCCTATTTTATGATTCATACTTCATTTAAAAAAAATTCGAGTCGAATTGAGTTGAGGAAAGTCGAGTCTAGTTGGTCGGTTTCTGTTTAAATTTAATTGTAACTATTTATAATGTTATGGTATTAACTGATTTCAATCTAAACGGCATTCTATAACAATATACATATATATTTATAAATATATAATGTAGTGTTGAGGGATTATTCTAGTCTTATTTATAGCTCAAACTTTATGAAAAAAATTCGAGTCTAGCCGAGAGTTTTATAGCATGAGTTGAAAATTTCAGTTTTTTTTTAGTAAAGTCGAGTTTTGCTAACACAACTTGCAGACCCTATTGGCTTCTACGTTCGAACACCCTTTTTAGCTGATTTTGAGTTATTGTTGTTTTCATTATTATTGAACGGAATCTGTGGGTAGATTTTTTATGTTTCCATTTTTTAAACCGAGTTTTTTTCCTATTAATTTAAAACTGTTCCGTTTGGAAGCAAATTTTATTATTGATACTGAATTCTGCATATCCAATTTACTCGGGAACTATGTATTTGATTTGGTGTTCTCACTTCTAAAATTCATTGCAGCTTTATTCTTCTGTTTCATATTCAAAATCACGGAGTAGGAGGAGAATGCCTTTGGGGAGTAGAAGAGGCATGGTTGTGAAAGCATCAGAGTCTCCCGACTCTGCTGAACCGAATACTCAAGTTGCACCACTTCGGATGGAGTCTCCGAGCGGTCAGTTTTTGTCTCAAATATTGGTAAGTCATCCGCATCTTGTTCCTGCCGCAGTTGAGCAGCAGCTTGAACAACTTCAAACCGACCGTGATGCTGAAGAAAAGGAAGAGTTGTCTGCTTCAGGCACAGATTTAATATTGTATAGGTTAGCCTCTTATCTGAGTGTTAGCTATTTAGACTTGAATTGAAATTTTGTCTCATGGGAAATGTTTTGAATCTGTTGCAGGAGAATTGCCGAGGTCAAGGCTAATGAGCGAAAAAGGGCATTAGAAGAGATTCTCTATGCATTAGTTGTGCAAAAGTTTATGGATGCCAATATTTCCTTGGTGCCTGCAATTACATCATCTTCTGCAGATCCTTCAGGTCGGGTGGACACATGGCCTAGCCAAGAAGATAAGCTTGAGCAACTTCACTCAGATGAGGCTTACGAGATGATTCAAAACCACCTAGCACTAATTCTGGGAAACCGATTGGGTGATTCAAAATCTGTAGCACAGATAAGTAAACTTAGTGTCGGGCAAGTCTATGCTGCGTCGGTGATGTATGGATACTTTCTTAGGCGGGTCGATCAACGATTTCAGCTTGAGAAGTCCATGAAAATCCTTCGAAATGCTTCAGATGGTGAAGAGAGTAGTATTGAGCAAACTGTGGGGGACGACACGAAACCTTCCTATCAAGCTGTTTCATCACACCCTGAAGTTTCATCCTTGTCTACAGGCGGCATCAGTCCCGGAGGTTTCAGTAACGAGATAAAGCCCTCTCGATTAAGGACTTATGTGATGTCTTTTGATGGGGAGACACTTCAGAGATATGCTACAATCAGATCAAAAGAAGCTGTTGGCATTATTGAGATGCACACAGAGGCTCTATTCGGGAGACCCGAGATTGCTATAACTCCTCAAGGGACTGTTGATTCTTCCAATGATGAGCTTATTAAGATTAGCTTTGGTGGTTTGAAGAGACTTGTATTGGAGGCTGTCACATTTGGTTCTTTTCTATGGGATGTTGAAAGTTTCGTGGACTCGAGGTACCATTTTGTTACGAATTAACTATGTCAAGCTACAATCCCTGCCTGCCGAAGCAAACTAAGTAGTAGGGAGTGTGGGACTAAGCTGATCAATTTTATGATTTTGCGTGTAAATTTGGTCTGTTATTTAGTAATTTGCGCACACACTATGTATATAGTTATGCTCTACTGTTGGAACATGTATTATCTGGTTCTGAATTATATTCCATTGCATGTGTAGTGACACATTGCTTGGAATCCACATGATATAATCGCAAAGATCTCTTCAATTTTATGTTAGTTTTAGGTTCATTATACTACTAGCTGAAGTGGACAACGACTTTCAACATCTTACGATGAACCAAGCTTGGGGCAATTTGATCAATGCCATTTATTTCAAGTTCAAGCAATCACTGGCTTTAAGCATCATCATCATCTTAATCGTATTCATTTATGGTTTCGTCCGAAAATTTTAGTTATTGAACGATATCATTATTATAAAATAAATAAATAATCCAACCAAATTACCATAAATCAAAATTTGGAAATAGCTAAAAGAATTTTCAATCTAAAAAATCAAATGAAAAACATTGCAAACATCATCAAATTACAAAACCCACATTAACTTTAAAATTAAACTAAAAATCTGGATGTGTCATATTTAACGTACTACACAACAATTTCATTTCACTGACCATATAATTCTTCCTGTGAAACACAATCTCCGAATCAAGATAAAACAACATTTAGTCCTCAACCTGTTCCATAAACTTTTCTTTGTCCACACTAGTTCCCCGACTTGAAAACTTCTTCCAACTTTTGAAATTAGAATTTTTGTTATCTTGATATACAGCATTTTCGAAGTTATGCCATTTGAAAATTTTAAAATACATACTACACAATCTCAAGGTATCATGTCACTTTCATGACAAAATTCGAGTTCTGGCAACTCCGAGACTAACATGGACCACAATAAAGTTTAGGGAGATGTTGGGAGAAAGTTGCTGAATCCATATGACCTGGACATGACATAATAGTATTGTGTACTTATATGACTACTAATATATATAATTAGCTGACCCTTTTTCCCATATGTAATGGGGTAAGGGGGAGGTATGATAGTAGGCTGCCCCCAACGCCAAGTTGAGAGCAGCTTTCGCGAGAGACCTCCGAATTAAGAAATGCCCTCCGTGGGACTCGATCCCACGATCACAAGGTTAAGAGCCTTGTGTCCTACCAACTGAGCTGGACGAGCATTTCTTTATATGACTAATATATACCTATATAATAATCTATATATTTTACGACTAAGGCGTCGTCGTCATCAATCATCATAACAATAATACGCAGCAGCATAGCTATAACTGGGATTCAATTCACCCAAATTAGGGGGTAACAATCACAAATGATAATACAACGGACTCTACATGACTCGATTTCTATCTTAAATCTTACAGACACCAAAAAAAGAGAAACATCACTTTTTCTGGCAATGATCCGATATGCCATATCATACCTTTTCCTTTCTTCACAATCAAAGTTGGCGTCAAAACAATCTTCCCTCTATCCATCATTTTCAATATATTCATCCATCTTCGACCTGCAAATTAAGACATTCTTCTTCAACCCATAAATCATTAAATTAATAAAATAATAATAAAAACATACCAACCGACCGGCAAGAAGCCTAAAGCACCACCTCCACTGCGAGAAAAGCAGATTCATGTGTGTCTTGATGCATCATCATGTAACTGTGTCACTCTCACATTAGGGTCATCCTGTCATGGGGAAGACCATATAGATGTAAGAAAGTCCTGAAACAAAACCAAACCAGTTTGACCACGTTATGTTAGCACTTAGCACTGTGTGGAAGACTCACCCGAATGTAGAAACTAGGAGATCGAAAGAAATCCATTGGTCCCTGTTGAACAAAACGTAAGTGTATGCGAAGTTAGCATTTGAACTCGGTAATAGAAAGAAACTAATGCACAAAGAGATACTATACCATCCCAGGCATGGTTTGCTGAGAGCCATAGTATCCATCATGGCTCGTTGCTATGGTGTTTAACTGTCCCTATGAATGAAAAAGCCAAATTGAAAATTAATCCCCTTAATGCAGTACATATTGCATAAATAAAGCAATCTAATTGACTCAATATGGCAAAAAAAAATGAGAATACCAGCCCCTGAATTGCCTGTTGATTCCCATAATAATTATCACGAGGTGCCATTAAATTAAGTTGAACCTGCAAAAGGCATATAACATGTATCTGAATATAACTGACAGAAAAGATAAATGAAATCAACTGTAATAAGCTTACCATTCCTTGGACACTTGGTTGTGCACCAAAGTAACCATCTATGGCTACTGATCTTGAGCTTAGTTTATCCTACAAAAACAATGAGTGACCAGATTCAGACCAACTTTATTCCAAAAGCCTGAGAATTTTCTTGATTGCAAAGGCTTCAATAATCTCATTGTTGTGCTATTAATTAATGCAGGTTTCGTAAATCATTTAAACATCTATCACTAGTCTGCTAATTTATAAAACTGGACTAACCATTTGTTGCAAACCATCTGTTGCTGCAACAGTCAGTACCTCCTGCTCTGAGTTTCCCTGGACGAAAAAGAAAAGAAAGACCCCTAAGTCTGGAACGGGAATAGAATCTTACAAAAATTTATTGACATGAGAAACACTATTTATAAATAACCTTTCTTTTTTTGGTTGGATTCTTTTTCTTATTTGTCTTGCTTGTGCTTCTGCTTTGATTGTCTTCTTCATTACATATCATACCCTGAGTGGGAGATGCCACAGCTTCTGCAAGGCTCTTGTTAGAAGTATTTGCACTCAAACAGTTCCTAAAAGCTTCTTCCAGGCTTCGGAATGCAATATAGTAGCTCTCTTGAGACAATGAACCCTCCTCAATCAACTTCATTGTTCGTTGAAACAGATCATTGTATCTCTGTGCCCTAGACTGCACCTGTTCAGATTCTTCTCCCATGAAATTCCTGCTCTTTGCCTCTTTCGTCCATCGTTTCAAAATATATTGAGACGGGATGGCTGAGTGGCCATTTATTTGGAGAACTACCATAGTATGTCTGCAGAGATACCCTTTGTATTCGTATAAGCGGCATATGCAAGAAACTTCTGCCTTCATCTCATTCAAAGTAACAATAAAATCCTGATCCTTTTCAAGATCTTGAACTCTAAAAATGCTGCATGTTGAATCATGATTTTCTTGCTTCGGATGACAAGCAATCGCACCCACAACCTCGGTTTGAAACTTCTTGAATAATGTATGTGTATATACCCCTGCAACACTCTTCTCAAAAGGTGATGGGGATTTTAGGGTAGGCACTTTGCTCCATGAATCAGAATTTGCTTTGGCTTCCACTTCATACCTATCTTGTAAAATTGCTTCATAATGTTTCAAAAAATCTTGCACTGAGGTCTTCTTATGGACATACTTGTCGAAAAATGAGTTCACACTCTCACTTCGCTGAACTGTAGACATCCCAGACAACAGAACATTCATCATATATGTTGGCACCCACATTTTGCGGTCTTCATACAACGATTTCATCCATTCATCATCTTTGAGTTCAAATCTATCAAGAATCTTCCACCACCTTTTGGCAAACTCTTCATCTGTCCATGACCTGTAGATGCATTTCTCAAATTTTGCAGTAAAGTTCCCATGCTGTTTGATTACATGACCAATATTCTCAGAAACCTTTCCTATTATGTGCCACAGAAAGAAGCAATGATGAGTATTAGGAAAGATTTCCGGAACAACTGATTTCAGAGTTCTGTCTTGGTCAGTTATTAGGACTCCAGGAGATTGCCCACCCATTGCTTTCAGCCATGTCTGCATTAGCCAAGAGTATGTCGCAGCACTCTCATCTGATACAAATGCACATCCAAGTGGAATGCACTGGTAATGATGATTAACTCCAATAAATAGTGAAAGAGGCATCTTATATTTGTTTGTGACAAAAGTGGTATCAAAAGACACAGCATCATAAAAATAATTGTAGTCATGCCTACTCTTTGAATCAACCCAAAACAAACATTTTAGTTGCTGATCTTCACCCACGTCTACTGCATAAAAGAAGTTTGAATTTATGTTCTGCATGTGTGTACAAAATTCGAGTAAAATCTTAACATCTCCAGCTTCTAATGCCAAATTTCGACCTTTATCAAAAGGATTTTTGGGATCATTCTTCAGACCAACAACATTTTTATATTCAGCAAATTGTCTAGCCATTGCAGCATACATCCTTCTGTTCTGTTCACTGACAGCTTGGGCTGGTAAAAGTTCATGGTTATGTTCTTTCACAAAATTATGTATAACCCATTTTCCATCAGACCTTCTCTTCACATGCATACTTGCTTTACAGTCTGTCTTCGAACATGATCGGCGACCAGTTGCATTTTCAGGGTCTTGCTTGCTTTGTCTAGCACGTGGGCGATTAAAGGATTTGTCAGACTCCCTTTTGGTCCCATACCTAGAACAGGCAAACTTTGCATCAATAAATTCTCTTGAAGTTTTCGAACGTCTGCTATTTTGTATAGCAGTGTTGAATCCCACAGACCGAGAATATTCTTGATAAAAAGAATATGCTTCTCCATGTGATTCGAACTCCATACCAGAAAGTGGCTCGAGATTCGTATCCCCCTTGAAGGTCACCATATCCATAGCAGAAGAATGCATTTCCCCACAATCTTCCGCATGTATATCCTCTCCTACAACCTGAACCACTCCATTATGCAGCGCTTCATCGCCATCTAACATATTATCAATTCCATTTGCATCTTCGTATTCCTTACACTGTTCACCGGAAGGTAACCTAAGATTTATGTCCATGATTGGAACTAGTTTACTTCAACCAACTGTTTTCCTGAGTGAACCTGAAAAAATAAAATGTGGAAGGATGACATCATGTCAACACAAAAAACCAGAGCAAAGAACAATTCACAATAGCCAACTCTGATTACTATAAAGAGAGAGAGAAAAACTAATTCAAGTCCTCTTTAGCTCTTGACCTGGACAAACATACACATAAAATAAGTAAATTAAACCGTAAGTTGAACATGCGAAGACAATTTCCCTAATACCAACATTCCAAACGAACAAAGAAGTTATAAATTTTAATAAAGGTAAGATTTTTAGCCATAATTAGTTAATAAGATCCGGCAGGCAACTGATGCTTTAACATCTGCAAGCTAAGATTAACGGGAAAAATAATCTTGAATGAGATGAACCCAGAAAAAATCATCAGGCAAAAACAAC